GCGGCGGCGGCAGCGGCGGCGGCAGCGGCATGAGCAGCAGCATGAGCAGCAGCAGGAGCAGCAGCAGCAGGAGGAGGCGCAGGAGGAGAAGGAGGAGTAGTAGTAGTGGTGGTGGTAGTAGTAGTCGTCGTCGTCGTCGTGGTGGTGGTGGTGGTGGTGGTAGTGGTGGTGGTGGGTTTCACAGCACATCCATTTTACCCGGTATTTACAGTAATTTCGTGAATTTGTAGACCAATACCAGCGATGATGATGATGATGATGATGATGGTAGTGAATCATAATGATGATGATGGGTTTAGGCGCCAGGTGGTTGGTGGGGGGGTCTGGCTAGTAGTAGTAGTAGTCGTCGTCGTCGTTGTCGTCGTAGTCGTACGAGTAGGAGAATAGGAGTAGTGCCGTTGGTAGGCTGGCTCAGTTCATTTGGTGTCCCCCCGGAGGAGTCAAAACGAGGAAGCATTCGGGGACTTGACTCCGAGAGCAGCTGATTCTTCGCGCTCGGCCGCCTGTCTGCGCGAACCACCGGCGCTAACCGAAAGAAGACACCTCACGAACGAATCGACTGGACTTCTGGCCAGTCTCAGCGCTTTGCAAGAACGAGAGCAAAGTTGCACAGCTTGCAAAACTGAGGGCTCCACCCATCCGGGATATTCTCTGCATTTAGCAGGCACAACTCCATGTTCCTGCGCCGACAGTTAAGTTTGCTGCAATGCCGGCGGCGCTCAGTCGAGATGAACTAGCCTTCCATTTGTTTCAACCTTGATCCGCGTGCTTAGCCTCACAAGTGCTCTGTCCTGGATTGTGGCGCCGACCCGGCTGCCCCGAAAACGTCGGGCCCGGCTGGCTTGGGAGCCCTGCATCCAAGGAGTTACACAAGACATAGTGTGTATTGCAGAGAGATCCAGACACCACTTTTCCATGGCTCTGACGTCCTTGCCCAGAAGTATGAGCCTTTTCTTTGCACCGCACTGCTGAAGCTAGCTTTGACAGCAGTGCTTGGGGGCAAGCACTGGAAGGCTTTTGGGTGCATTGCCCACACCACGCGCAGCTCAGTTTTAAAAGGGAACCTTTGCGTAGCACATGCAAGCTACAGGCAAGCTGGGCAGCTTTGGGCGGAGCGGGCTCCTTGGGAAATGCCCAGACTTTGGCTTCTCGGCCAGCCGGAGCCCAAGCCAAGCCAGCTGTAAATTTCTCAAAATTTTTGCAGGTGCCCACCGGAAGTTTGCCTTAGTGAAGGCCCTGCATCTGTCTGGTTGCGCCCTGTGGTACATACTCTTGAGAAGTGCTGCTTCAAGTTACCAGCGAGCAGGCACACTCCCGTGAGACCCCGACATCAGTCGAGCACCAAATCAATCAAATCATATTGACGGCTGTGTCGCAGCGCAGGATTCGAACAAAGTGGCCTTGCCAGTTCACTGTAGGACACTGTGCGGGGACTTAGGCATACTTAGGCAGAACCCCTGAAGAAGCTTGGATCTCTGAAATCTGAAAGAGCCGACATCATGAAGATGCCATGACTTGCACCTAAGGAAGAAAGCCCAATGCAATGCATACAGGTGTCCAAACCACTCTTACTCGTACCCATTCCCAACATCCGAAACAAGGTTTAGCCTTTAGGAGTTTGGACCCTGCCCGGAGCTGGTCACCTTGCCCAAGCCTCTGTGCTGCGTCATGGGGCATGCGCGTCACGCGCGTGCACGCGCGTAAATATGCCTGCATCCAGCCGCCACAAGCTCGTGGGCAGCGGCCGCCGTGTGAAGTGACACTCAATCCCCTGGGCTCAGGAAATTTGCTCCAAACTCTGGCATCTACCCTCGCTCCTTGCAACGAGCCGCATGCTCCGGCACAGCCGCTTCGCGGTGGCTCCGAGGTCCGAGAGCGACAAGTGTGCGAGAGCCCAGGCGGTCGAGCGACGCATGAAGCAGTTCGTGTCCGGCGGGCAGGTATTCTGTCCGTTCGGCTGCCCGATGCAACAGCAGGCCGGGATGGCGGGATGATTCCGACAGCTCCTTCTGGGCCAAATTTTTGGCTGCATGGCTGGCTCGCAGACATGACGCTGATCCAGCTTCGCAAGTTTGTCGGACTACTGCGAAGTCCGATAGCATGCAGGACTAGGAGCAATCAGAACCAGTCAGAACATTGCAGCTACTAGCAAAGCTGCCAGCTTGCAGAATGAAGGCTTTGGAAGTGCCCGTCTTGAAGGTTCACCCTGATGCACTCAAAATGTGCAGGACGAGCTACAAGACAGGGGCATTCTCCCCAGAGGCCGAAACATTTGCGCAGACTCACCCGAAGACTCAGCTCCTCTCCAAAGCTTGTCATACCTTTGCCTAGAATCCTTCACGAAGCCCGGCAGCGGGGGAGACCGCAAGCTGCACGTGTGCCTTCCCCAAAAACCCATCCAGAGCATTTGACCCGACTGGGCCACTGCATGGACGCATGTCCAGGCAAATTTGACTTCCACACCGCAAGTCATGCTTGTTCAGCGGTCTACTGGTAAATCTTGCAGTTGGTGAGGCGACCAGAAACCGGAAAAGCACAGTCGAGAAGTGTCAACGTCTGAAAATGTTTGAAGGCATGGACTGGTATGGAAGCGGAAGATCCGTTTGTACATGGATTCATATGGCAAGGTTGGCAGTGGTGCATCGCAGAGGGCACGCTTGGCTACTGTTGCTGAGCGCTAGTGACCGCTAGTGTTCTCCTTGCTTGCATGCCCTGCGCGCCACCAAGGCCAACAACTTCTGTCTGCCGCTCAGAGATCGACGACCTGTGCAGGGCGCCCTTTTCAGACTCTTGTTACCAGTACCTTCACAGGTTGACTCGAGGGATGCCTCAGGCTCCGGGAGCTGGCAAAGGCAGAAGTGACCGCGAGGCGATGGCGATGGGCTCCTCAGAGACGCGCTCCTGCCAGCACGTGCTTCGAGAAACACATGCGTATGGCGTATGCAGCTTGTCCGGTCCTCCATCCAGTGAGGAACGATCCCTTCAGGGGTGTGCACGGCAACAGCGGCAAACTGCACTTTCGCACGGTACTTGACTCCCACATGGTCGTAGCCTACTCATGCTTCTGGAGCACGAACGAAGCTGGAGAGCGAGAGCCCCAAACCCAAAGATCCCAAAAGCGTCAAGAGCAGCGACGTGACACTTTGGTGGCACCGAACATCATCTCATCCATCCATCGACCCTTCCATAAGTGCTTCTGTTACTGCTCAAAGCCCCTCTAGTCACTCTAGTCCCCTCAGGAGTCCCCTGTACAGAACCCTTCTATAAAATGCTTCCCCCTATGTACTGGCGTGATTCCAGAGTACGACCTTAATTGGACCTTAATGCTTTCGCCCACCCCCCCCCCCCATGAACTGGCGGGCGACGAACATCCTTCCACCAAGTTCTGGCGAAATTCAGATGGGATTCAGGGGCACGTCCAAACTGTTTCCCTGTGCATTTGCAGGATGTCGAGAGGGTTGTCAATTCGAGACCCTGCCGGAATTCGCGAGCTCCTACCGGAGGATGCGGACTCGCAGTGTCCACCGACAGATACCGACAGGGTTGTCAACTCGGAACACGATTCGTCACAGCACCAGTTCGCGCACGTTGGCATCAGGCGACGCCAGCCCCATCCCGTGCGATAAAAGTAATGTAAGAAGTGTTTTAATAAACCGGGTGACAATAAAAATATTCCCTGGCTCAGACTTTCTCGGCGGAAGACTACTTTAGATTGCGCACCCTGACCCGACCAGATCCAGCCAAACAATTGATGTTGGAACCCGAGTGATATTTATAAGGGGTGACATTTAAAATATTCCGTGCTACAATCCCCAACAATTTACAACCTGGCCTGAGGAAAGTTTTTTATTTTCGGAAAAAGCAAAGAGAAGCCTAGACTAGACCCTAAACTGTCGGCGTGCAGTTCCTCAAACCTCTCACTGAACTAGCAGTTCGCAAACTGCTGTTCCATAGACTTTTCACTCCACCCTTCGGCAATGAGAGCACATCCGACATTTCAGAAGCTCCAAGCTGGGAGAACTGCTGCGCTTCACAAAGTTTCGGCAGTCGGTCCTTACAAGCAGACCCTTGCAAAAGACCCTTGTTGCAGCCTCCCAGGCTTCCAAAGAACTGTAAAAAAAGAAGCTTTATGGCTGCTTTCCAGACATTCAGAGAGCTTTGCAACAGCAGAAATGTGGCATCAGAGATACCTGAAGCAGAGTCAAGCGAGAAGCAGACACCAGATAGGCCCATGCACGATCTTCCAGCAAGAACCTGAATGGAGTGCCTCAGATGTCGCAACGCATTCCAGAGAAGCAGAAAACGCTCAGAAACAGCAGCCGGGAGGCGTCAGAGTCAGGCTGCCTTCGGCGGCAGACCCAGCTCCAGACAGAGCTTGTTGAGCAGATAGCGCTCCAGCTTGACGGGATCACAATCCAGGCAGCCTGACTGCTAGAGTGGCACCTTGAGCGAGGCCAGTCAGACCGACGTGCTCGATGCGGGCCTTGTTGTCTTCCTCAGAAAGATCAGAGGCGCCTGGCTCCGTGTTCAGAGGCATCAGGTCCGTGGCCAGTTTCACCAGAAGCAAGTCAGAGAAGATGTGCAGCATCTGGGCCAGGACAAAGAACCCACATTCGTCAGACTTCTGACGAGGGCCAGAATGGCCAGAGTCTCTCGCCGGCAGACTTTCGCTGGGCAGAAGGATGAACAGAAGCTTGGTCGCGTTCACAGAGCACTTCTCGTACTTCTCAGACAAACTGTCCAGATACTCCACAAGGAAACTCTCAGACAGGTCCTGTCACTGCAGGACCAGAAGAGTCCAGTGCTGC